CAAATAAAATCTCAAATAAATTAGGAAAATACAAAACCAATACTGATAAATTGAAAAAAACTGGAACTGTTTACAAAATTAATTGCAACTGTCAAAATCCTAAAGAATACATAGGTGAAACGGGTCGAACTTTGGAATTACGGATAAAAGAACATGAAGCTGCCATACGGTTAAAACATGATAATTCACCTTGGTATAACCACATCAAAAATAGTAACTGCAAAATAGATAGAAATAATATTAAAATCCTACACTGTGAGAAAAATATATATAAACGTAAATTCAAAGAACATATAGAAATAATGAAATACAGTGGTAATAATTTAATAAACATTTCCAATGGCATGCAAATCGACCAGCAATGGTATAACATGATAGGGGGCGCAACAAGTCAATAGTTTATATTTCTAAGATTATACATTGTCGTGAAAATTTTATTGTATGTTGAACCTTTTTAAAGTTTATACAACGTATACTACTCTGTTATTGTTGTGACACTTTTAAAGAAAAACATGTATGTATTTTTTTTAGTAAATATTTTTTTAAAGGAAAAAATTTGTTATAAATAAGTGATTTAAAATGTTACTAATAATTATAATTTGTAATTAGTTGTGTAGCATAATGGTATGGATTTCGATGTAAAACGCCCTTAAGAGAAAATTGGGAATTATAAATTTAAAAACATTGTAAATTGATAGTACAAGTACTGTAAAAGAGATGAAGAAACATGTGGGAAATCTTAAGGTATTATAAAATGTCTTTTTATGTCTTGTAAGCATTTTCTACTCAAAAGTTGTTTTGTGTAAATTCAATATGAATTTGTTTTGTAGCACTGAAGAGGGGCAGGAAAATTAAACTTGCCCGAAATGCATCTGTGAAAAACAATAAAGGAGATTTTTAACCTGTAGAGCTGTGAGAAAGTCTACCGAAATTTTGTTCGGATTGAAGAGACATTTACCTATATAATATATAAGATTGCTATTGTTTCTATATTCAAATATAAATTCATATGTTCTCAATGGAAGCACTGTATTGTCAAATACAGAATAGCTCCCATAGCAAAAATATTTGAATCGTGTAAAGCAGCCAGATTTTAGGCATTTGTACATGTGCTTTATAGCGCACCAATTTCATGCAGTTTAGCTCATGGATGCTACACATCAAAATATCGTATAACATTTCCAATGATTCTATCCAGAACCACTTCCTTATCGTCAAATGTCACCACACACCACTGATGAACAAATTTGTTAAATTGTTAATTTCATTATTTATATATCAATAAATATACATTAAGAATTTTGTGTGTTGATTTTGCATATTCACAGTTCAGTATTTGCAACCAATATTCATATTTGTGAAGCTAATAGTTGCTTATTCACAGAAATATTAGTAAAAACAAATAATAAAGAGAGAATTAATAATTTTTAAATACTTTTATCTTAAATATATTTTACTGCAATTTATATTAATGCACATTACACCATATGATTGGATACTATTTTGTTATTTCTTGAATTATTATAGCATGTGCACTTATGAAGATAGTAAACATTGCATTTTATATTAGTATGTATTTTGCATGTTTTATGAGCAGATTTTAATTAATTTGTAAGGATAAAAGAAAAACTAACAATATCAAACGAACAAAAAGACTAATACTAAAATATTGAAAAGACTATAGAAAATTATGTCTGTCAAATACATTAAAATGCTACATTGTTTACGGAATGAAAACTTAACAATGCACTTGCTTGCACTTTTGTGTAAATTAATCTACCATAAAATATACTAAGAAAAAAAGATAAAAGATGTAGAAATTCATCCTCCAAAACAGCAAACATTGCAATAATCATAAGAAATTCAACCATTAAAAAAATGAGTCTTATACATCTGGATTAAAATCAGTCACAGGATATACTTTTGAATACAGTCGTTACAAATACATGAGCCGATCACAGCCCGGCACAAATATTTGTAAAATCTAAGTGATTCGTACAACATGGAATTCATATAAAATGGAATTATCAACAGTGTTATAGAGGGTCGACTGTATCTCTATCAACAATGTTATAGAGGGTCGACTCCATCTCTATCATCAGTGAGAAGGTGAAGCATGAAAGCATCTGTTTGAAGAATTTAGTAAAAAAATTCACCAAAATCAATTATGCTTAAAGTTGCTTGGTGGTTCTGAATGATAATTTCATAAATTTTAAGAAAAGGAATGTTATGCTCAATGTAAAGATTATGGGCAACAAATTTTAAGCTATAATTTAAAAAGTAATTATTAGATATATATCCTGTTTAAATGTTTGAACATGTTTGTTTATAGCCTTCCTACAAAATATATTTAATAATGGAACATGAATGTTCCATTATTAAATATATTTTGTAGGAAGGCTATAAACAAAATCATTCATTGAAAGCATTCTGATGCTGTATATCAGGGCTTCTTAAACTTTTTTTATTCACGACCCCATTTATGATTGTGATTTTTTTCGCAACCTAAAAAATATAAAATAAAGATATATACAAATTTGCAAAAACAATAATGGTGTACTACCACAGTTAACACTTGTGTTACAATAGAACAGAGACAACTGAATACACTGAAAAGCACCAACACTACACTAGTTCATACTACAATCAGTGTTGCTGAATCATTGTCTCGCTGCACCAGAAGTGACACAAAGTGCAATTCACAAAACCTATGACACAAAGCATGCCATTTTCAAACTCTCACAAATTATTTTCAATATTTTGCATTAAAATCTCATGACCCCAAGATTTCGCTAAGCAACCCCAAATGAGGTCGCGACCCCAATAAATTTTTTTAATTAAACATAAATCAAAATTCAAAAAGCCCTGCTGTATATAGTAAACAACTAGATGAAATGTATCAAAACTTGAAAAATGTAAAAACACTCTTAATAAATATCTAATACATTTTGCAATGTTTTAAATGAAAAAATTAAAATGCAAAATGATTATTTTAAATGTGCTGTTTAACCAGTTGTTTGCCATATTTGATAACAAAACTTTCACCTACTTATTTCATTAGCAAGAAATAATAAATGAAAAAATGAATGCCTTTTGATATTTTAAATTATTTTTTATCGCTGAATCATCTTTTATCATCTTAACATATTATTTTTAACCATCTCATACAATATTAAATAAATACTTTTTGATTTACATTGAATTATAATACAGTATTTTCCAGCTTGAATACAAAATAATCGATTTAAAACAGGATTTTCCAACCTGTTTTGCTAGTCAACCTGTTTTCAAAATTAGATTTAATCTGCCAACACAAAATAAAAATAGAATACTTATAGAATAAGTATAAAATAAGAATACTTTATTAACAATATGATAAAATTAAAAAATCAAACAGGAATTAATGACTTTTTTTAATTAAACATAAATCAAAATTCAAACTATGTTTTATTTCACCAAAATTTAAATATGCATCAATTATTATTATACACTTTTTTAATTATATTTTTAAATATAATAAACATAAATTTGTCTACTGAAACCTAAAATACTCTTAGTAATTTAACAACTCCAAGATAAAATCAATTGAACCCTTGGGTTGGCAGTGATCAGGTTGGGATTCTAACTTGAAATGCACAATTTCTATCTTAAAAATTTTAACTAAAAAAAAACTTACAAATGTAAATTTTTTTTCCTCATAAGTGCTTCATCAATTGATTGCTCTTTTCTTCCATGCAAATCTAAAAAAATTAAATGAAATAATTCTTATTTTCAAAACACATGAAAAGATAATTATTTTCTTAATAATAAAAATAGAACATTTTTAAATCATCTTCAATAATCAAATAAGTTATATTTTTTCCACTATAAAATAACTATATTAATGTATAAATATTATTATAAAATTTTTTTGAATTTCGATGATGGTTTGGAGATAATAGAAAAAAATATTACTGTTGTCTAAATAACAAAAACTCTTCCAAACCTGTTACCGGTGCATTCTCCTTCTACAAAATCGTAATCAACATAAGTAGCTCTTTACTAACGTTTTCAAACCCCAACGACGGTTTTTCTTCAGGTATTTTTGAATCTCTGATGGAAATGCAGCTCGTAAAACATCAAATTCGAAAATATGTACGTTTGAATGCACACTTCCCGTTTACATCTTTGTGTGGCATGCGCAGTTAATTCCAATATGACTATCATAAATTACTGTTCATAAGTGCCTGCCACACTACTGATAGCATAATCTCTTCTTTATGATTGATGCTACATACAGTAGCGTAGAAGAAGGAGAATGCACTAGCAACAGGTTAGGAAGAGTTTTTGTTAGTATTCTCCAGTGTTGAGATAAAGATTTATAGTTGTCTAAATTTTATGTTTTTGTTATAAAAACTGAATATATGTTATAAGTATGGATATTATGAAATTACTAATACTGCTCATCTTTCTATGCATCATAATGCATAGTTTCCAAATAAAAAATTGAAATCTAAAATCAAAAACTTTTCAAAATGAGCATCTAGGTCAAGCATGCTGATCCACACTTTGCCATATAAAATATTTTTAACCTTTCAGCACATGCGCTGTTGTAAAAAGTACAACACACTTACTTTTTCATTAGTATCTTTTTAGAGGTTGGTTCAAGATTCTTCATTTCTTAAGTATTCTTCCATCAATACTTTTTCTAAGAACTTGTTTACCACACTTTCATTACTATTGTGCAATCACCAAAGCTAGGTGGCAGGTGTTGTACTTTTTATAATGCAAGTGTGCTCATGCACAATTTTTATTTAGGATTTAGTTCCACCTTTTATGGTTTTTGTGTAGTCTTTATCTACATTATAAGCAATATCTAGACAACTTCAAGGAGAAAAATACTGAAAGTTTTAAAACAAGCATTATCTGACAAAGATAATAATGAAATGGATATTTTTGATGATGATGGTGTTCAAAAGTGAAGATGACAGAAGTGATGAAAATATTGAATTCAGTAATCATGAAAGTGACACAGAGACAAATTCATCAGATAGCAGTGAAGGTAAAGATGATATTGAATACAATAATTGCCAGTACTATTTAGATAGAAACAGGTCAAAGTGGAATAAAAAGCAAATTTGAAAATGACCAAAACTAGACAAAAAAATATTGTAAAGATATTTCCTGGACCAAGGGGTGAAGCCAGAAGCACTTCATCAGAAGCTGAAGCTTTTTTCAAATTTTTGGATATCAACATAATGAGATTGTAGATTGCACTAATAAATACTTCAACAATGTTACCAGTAAATTTAAAAGAGAAAGGGACTGTAAAAACACATGTTTTTACATCTACACATGTTTTTACAGTCCTATTCTCTTCTAATTGGATTGTTGTATTTGATTGGAGCAAAGAAAGGCAAGCATACCAATGTTAAAGAATTGTGGGTGATTGATGGAACAGATGTGAGGTTCCAGAACAGGTCAAAACTAAATTTTAATTTCAAGTTAATTAAAAGCAAAAATGATATTGTCAAGTCGGACCAAAGGCCATGTTGGTTATATAAGAAGAAGGAGAGAAAAAATACTGTAGTTGTCAAAACAAACATGACATAAAAATGTATGATGTAACAGATCAGATAGAATGTCAGTCCGGAAAGATATAACTTTGATACAAGCGATCATAAACAGTCGATCTAGAGTAAAAATTCAAAAAAGGGGAAAGATTTGACAGATAGAAAAACATTGCATACAATCGTTAAAGTTTCAAAATGACAGAAAACAGAAGCAATGGGCTAAATTATGAGTGCAAGACTTATAGTTCTGTCAACAATCTCTGATCAGAGTTGACAAAAAGGTGTCAAATAGACATCTCGAATTGGACCTTTCTCTTGACCTGATCAGGCCTCAGTTTTCACCTGGAGACAAAAAGAGAGACCAATCAGGAAGTGAGGAAGGGGATACAAGATTCAAGCAGGGCTGTGGAATCAGAATTGTAGAGTTTTGGTGTTTTAGCCGGAGTCGGAGTCATCAAAAAATCCACTGACTCCAACTCCTTTTTACTTTCCAACTTATTATGTATATAAAATGGAAAAGTATTGGAATCGTGTTAAATTTGACCCTCCAAGTCTTTTTTGCAAATCTACGTGTTTGGAGACCTCCCGAACCCTCCAAAAAGTCATTAAAAGAGGAAAAATTAGTGCACGTGTATGTGATGTGTTGGCGTCTAAATTTGTTTAATTTCTGTTCTGAGATATTAAACACTATCTCAAAATGGGTGAAGTTTAAGAAACGAAATGTGGTGCTGTAGCTCGCGTATAAAGGGGCATTAATACTATTAAATTTTGGTTCTTAATTAAAGGTCGACAGGGTGTAGACATAAAAGGGGTCATGTATCATATCTCTTAATGACTATTTTACACGTTATTAGCATTCAAAATTTAAAGAAATAAAATAAAACGCATCTTTACCCTCAAAGTAAGCTTTTTCTCATTTTATAATAGTACAGTAAAACCCTTTAAGATGTTCTAGCTTAAGATGTTAGAATGTATATGGGGACATGATTTAGTTCAACTACTTTGACTTAAATAACTAACTCCTGTGTTAAACCATCTGACTCCAATTATGACCACTCTGACCACAGAAATTATTAGGCTTCAAGCAGGGTGAACAAAATCATGCTCCCCACACACAGTCTAACATCCACACATATAAAAAAAAACCTCGAATCTTTTGCATATCTCAAAATTTCAAGATACCCTGAGTCCAAAAATGTAAAAATTTGGGAGGGGGATATTGTTTGACTGAGTGCTACACTTTTTCTCTGTTATATATAACAGCCAAAAAAGCAAAAATTATTGAATACACATTCATATATTGACTGTGTCATTACTTAGAGAAGTCTTTTAGCTTTGGAATAAAAAGTTTCTACATTCTATGTTTATTAGAACTCTATTTAATGAATATTTTATTCTGAGATCACGTGATGATATCAGAATTTCCGGGTCTCTGGTAACAAGTCCGCCCCTGGTCGGAGTCGGATGGTAAGGAAAAGTCAGAGTCGGATGGTAAGGAAGAGTCGGAGTCGGATGGTAAGGAAAAGTCGGAGTTGGAGTCTGTAGATTTTTATGTGACTCCACAGCCCTGGATTCAAGGGAAAAATACTATAAAAATCCCTAACCTCAAGGACAAGGGCAGTTCTCAAAATTCTACAGTGATTAATCTGTGTTGTACCCTCTGAATTACTCCTACTCTTCCGATGCATCCTGACATCACATCAAGGAATTCAAAATTAGCCTGACCACCTCTCCTATGTCATTTCTGCTCTGGGCCGAGGCCATCATCAAACCTTCTATACCACTCCCATTGACAGAATTGAACTTTTCATCATTCACATTGTTTGAGAGACTGTGACGGTTATCCTGTTGACAGCATACTTCAGCCACCCAATCAACACACATATAAGCTTACTATTTATTATAATAAACACGTTTCTTATAAAACACTTGTCATCTCTGTCTCTACCACCACCACCCACATGCAGATGACCCTAACATTCCTGATGCAGGATTAACTGATTCCCCCCAGAAAGTCAGCAAGCTTACACTGGTGTCTGAGAAGTGAGATTTTAAGTCCCTAATCTCCACCAGACCAGTTTATTTACACAGATATAGCGATTTTACATGCAGCAATAAGTTATAAAATATTTCTTTTTTACTAAGGTGCCTTAGATTTGATGATAAAGCCATTAGAGATGAATGAAGAAAAATTGGTAAATTGGCAGGAAATGGTTAGGTTAAACTTTCCTTACATAATTGTAAGGAAAGTTACAATTGAAGTAAGTTTACTGCGATTGATGAGATGCTACATCCTTTTAGAGGTAGTTCATGGATTCAGTATATCCCCAAGAAGCCTGCAAAGTATGGACTACAAATATTTGCTATTTGTGATGCAAACATACTATTGCAGTAATTTATAGGTATATTGCAGACAACAACCTAACAGACCATATGCTGTATCCAACAGTCCAGCAGACATTATGAAAAGGGTAGTAGTCCCTATTATAAACACTCATTCAACATTACTTATGACAATTGGTATACTAGCTTACCACTGGTTAACTACTTGCTGGCAAAGATGATTACATTTCTTGGTATGATAAAAAAAATAAAAAATAAACCTGAAATTCCTTGAGATTTTCTGCCCAGCAAAACAAAAGCAGTGAACAGTACCATGTTTGTATTTCAGAAATATCAAACACTTGTTTCATTTGTACCAAATAAAAATAAAACAGTCATTTTATTATCCAACATGCATGATGATGATATTGTTGACAAAACCAGCGTGAAACCAGAGATTATACTTGATTATAATATGACCAAAGGAGATGTAGACACTAATTCTCTTGCTTCTATGTCCTTACTGTATTCAATTTTGATTACAGCATTATCTACATTGGACTTAGTTTATTAATAGGACTTATTATACTGGTGTTATTTCAGTTTTTTTGCAAACAATGAGGTCTTATTCAGAAAAAACAAAAGCAGGTAAAAAATAAAGATTTTTTTTTTTCTGAATAAGACCTCTTCTGTTTGCAAAAAACTGAAATAACACCAGTATAATAAGTCCTATTAATAAACTAAGTCCAATGTAGACAATGCTATAATCAAAATTGGGGGTGTAGACACTCTTGACAAAATGTGTGCTGCATATTCTGTTTTTCAGTTATGAAATAATGGCCCTTTGCAGTGTTTTTTGTAATTATGAATATTGCAGAAATAAATGCAAGAATAATTTTGTGATGAACAATCCTGGACAGGATCAAGTAAGAAGAGGAATCTTTCTGAAAATCCTGTCTATACAACTAATGAAAGAGCATCTTATTTCAAGATCAGAACTTTCATGCCTTCCATGTGACTTCACAGTCTTTCTTCAAAAAATATCCTGAGAAATGCCAAATGGAAGGGATGATTTAGAAGATGAAAGCATATCAAAGAAATGTGGTACTTGTTTGAAGTGTGGACGTAAGAAAAATTCTTCTGCCTCAATGAGGTGTGACAAATATAAAAAAAATTTTATCTGCAAACAGCATGCAATCAAACAGATTTTGTGTGATATGTGTTGTAAAATAGATGACTAATTAATACAATAGATGTCTTGATTGAAAAAGAGTATAGAAAAATAAAAGCAAATGTAAATTCATAACATATCAAATTAACAAAATAAAATAAGAAAATTCATAGTATTATAAAAAGTACAACACACGCTTGCTTGTAGAAAAATTGTCACATGCTTGACAAAAGGTTAAATGTAATGAATCATCTACCATACATGAATGTATGGTAGATGATCCATATTTTATTCTTGAATATTGTTAAGAATATATATATATGATCTATATATTCTTAACAAAATGTGTATTCATGTGTCTTCACAAACATTTTCCATTCTGTATCAATACATCAAAGAAATTTGCTTGTGGCACATGCTCAATTTAGATGGCTTTTGTAAGTATTGTTTGTAGTTGTAAAGAAGAGAGTTTAATTTAAAGTATGGACAAAATAAGTGTGGATTTAGAATCAGGAAAAGGTGTTACATTTTACAGACGTATATAGATAGTGTCCAGAATTATGGAACCCCACTGATAACAATTATCAACTTGCAAAATAAAAACAAGATGCATGTCAATCTGAACTTCACTATTCTTTGAATGTTGCAAAAGTAAAAATAAATTTGATTTTAAAATTGTATGTTGTACAATTTGAAAATTAGATGTTCATACTTGAAAAATTAATAATAATGTTATTACAGAATGCTTGCAAATGCTTTACACTGCAGGGCATGATTAGTGTGCTTGATCTGAATACATAAGTATAAATACAGTAGCCCCTCATTATATCATGCTTGTCAGGAGACAAAGAAAAGGTGCAATATATCCAGTGGTGTGATATAACTGAGTACTAAAAATTCTGGGCTTTTACTAAACAGATGATACATGCTATTGTATGTTGAATTTGTCCATTATCATCTAGTATATTCCATAGAGCTTAGTCATCTGAAAATATTTGTTGTCAAAGGTAATAGTCTAATTGTTATTTACTTTTACATAGTCTATTTCAATTAATTGAAAGTAACTAACTATAGTAGTTTATTGCAGCATATCTTCTGTATATAAAGAAACCAACAATTCAAAAATATTAATACTAGATTTTTTGGAGTTTCATTTTTTACTACAGTAGAGCGTCGATTATATGAATATCGATCAACCAAAACCTCAATTAACCGAAAGCTTTCCAGTTGGCAAATTTAAATTTTTGCTAGTGCTGGGTTAATATATTTTTCATACATCCATCATTTAATCGGTTATCCGAAAAATAGATTTTCTGAACAACCCCAGTCTCCAATTGATTCAGATAATCGATGCTCTAATGTAGTTACAATGAACAGGTTTCCTTGATTAGCAATTTGTAATGACATTTCTGTCATTACAAATTGTTATAAATTCTGTAGTCAGAAAGACAAATGTAGTATAATAGATCTTTTAATCATATTTTTAATTTATTTAATTTAAAATATACTAAGTAGCAGCCTGGCATTGTGATGATGTTACAATAAATAATTGCTCATGATACACTTTAACTTTCATGATATATAAATGTTTTTATAAAATATTTTTAATTTTGAATTGTTTATTTTGTTTTCTCAATCTGAATAAGATCTATTACTACAAATTTAATTACTTATATCATTCAAATGTATTGAAGCAATATAAATATCAAATAATCATTTTATTATGGATGTATAAACTGATTAACGTTTCATAAAATTTAGTATGCTAATAATCATGAAATATATAAGCTAGTCAGTTATTAAAAAATTGGTATAAATAACAATGGATCCACTTCTCTTCAAATTTTTTGTATGTAAGATTGAAAACAGATTAATTATGGATTATTAAAAAATACTAAACAAGTTAAAACTAGTAGTGCTATAAAATATATTATTATTATTATTTAGAGAGTATTAATGCAAATGTAGGACACAGAATAACAGTCAATAAGTTATAAAAAAAGTCTCAAAATTTTTTTGTCCTTAACTGAAAGATTTTAAATATTCAGATATCTAACTATAATAATTGAAAACTTATAGCTGTATAAAATGCTTTTTCATTCTGATTTAGAAATAATTTTTCAAATATAAATTAAAGAACATTACAAAGGTATAAATTTTATTAATTAAAAAATATTAATACCTGAAATTCTTGGTATGGTTCTTGAAAATTCTAATTCATTTGTTCCAACACAATGCTTCTGATCAATAACCTTATGTTCTGATGCATTTAATGGATTAATTCCAATTGACGAGTCTTTTGACTGATCATAGTTTTGACCATACACTCTGTAATATAAAATTAATATTTTTAAAAGAAAAATGTATCAAATTGTATAGAAAACTATTTTTCACTAGGACAATTTACAAGCTTCTAAGTCTTATTTATTATTTAGTTTGGTTTAAAATAATTCTAATGTTATTCAATTTTTTTATTTGATTAAAACTATAATTATTCTTAATATTTTTATTGATAGTTCCATCTTTGTGCTTATTAATAATTTTTTAAATGCTGAAATTTTCTAAATTAACTTATAAAACTAATTTCTACAAGGTATATAGAATTTATAAAATTATTTAAGTTTCATTTTATTCTATTTACAGTGGTACCTCAGGATACGAAATTAATTCATTCTGAAACTGAGATTGTATCATAAAATGTCGTAAGGTGAATCATTTTTCCCCATATGATTACATGTAAAACCAAATAATTTGTTCCAACACCAAAACACACTCAAATTAAAGCTAAGTAGTACAATAAAAAAAAAAGTATAGTAATGAAAACATTGAAAAATGCATTTTGTAGTTCTAAATGTATAAATAACCATAATAGAATAATAATTGATTAAAAAAATGTAGTTTTATTTGCACTTTACCTTTGAGGATAGACAACGGTGAAGGTGTAAACTGGTGGCAGAAGAGAAGGAGAAGGGAAATGATACTAAAACTTAACTTACATAACATAATGTAACAATAACTTAAAAATAACTTATAAAACAACACTAATTTTTTTTATTTTTTTTTTATTTTTTAATTTTTATTCACTGCTTTTTGCTTTTGTTCCTTCATTTCCACCAGCACTTTCACTGGATAGAGGTCGCTTGGTAAAATATCTATCCATAGAGGTTTGGCTTTGCCTACTTTTTAAAATGTTTCTAAAATGACTTAGCCAAATGTCATTACTCTGAGCAGCAATACGGCCAGTATGAACCTTTTTGGAATGTTTCTTTTCAATAAAATCAGTCACTTTCTGATAATACCTCAAGATTTCCTTTATCGAGCGAGATCCTGCCACGACGAAGCAAACGCGGACTGAGACAAATGAACAGAAGTGAATAAAAAATGGCGCTGCAAACTAATGTAACATCATATGGTGAGTTTTTGTTCGTATCGTGGAACAAAAAATGTTTGAATTTCATGTCGTATCCTGAAAATTTTGTATGCTGGGGCGTTCGTATCCTGAGGTACCACTGTATTTGTCAATACTTTTTATACGTGGTTAAAATAAATTTATACTCAGTCTAGTTAAATTTTCAAATAGTGCTTTAAGAATTCATTTTTAAGTTCCTAAATGCTGAAAATTATTTGGAATATACTAATTTTTCACAAAATAAATCATTACATGATAATTTAGAATAATGGACATTTTAAAAATTAATTGTTTTACAATTAGTTTGATTAAATTTATTAATAAGGAAAAGGATTCTGAAGTATAAGTTATAAAGACAATGTAAGAATTTTCAATAAAATCTATTTTTAATTATTTCAAAAAAGATAAAAATCCTTAAAATAATTGAAAATGAAAATGTTAGTCAGAACTACATTTTCGCAGTTGCATTAGTACAGGATGAGCATAATTAAAGTGATGGTACTTGGAATGTTGTGAAACATGATCTGATGGATGGATTGCAGCAGGACTAGGTAGCCATCTTAATGAGATCATAGGAAAAATAATGTGTGAATAAAAAAATTAGCTAAATTTTGTGATTAACATCCGGATGGTGTTAATGAACATAAAACATAAAAACATGTTGAAGAATAATAAACATATAAATTCAGCAATAGATGCTGAAAGCAAAAAATGGCATGGTCCATACTTGCTTTAAGTATGTGTATATTTTATCAGATAGCTGAAACATACTGCTTAATCCTTCTTTCAATTTAGGAAGATTTGCAATACCATCTTCATAAACAGCTTTTCAAATAACCTCATAAACACAAGTTACAAGGTTTGAGATTTGGAGAATGAAGTGGCCAAGTAGTTGGAAAATTTCATGAAATTGACATATTGTATGCTGTGATGTGTGCTGTGTAATGATTGTGTCCAATATGGAGTGGTGCTCTATTTTGCAAGAAAGTTATGGTATCCAAAACAGTTTCTCTCTTGCAAAGCTGAAATAATGTTGTTGAAAAGAAGATTCATGTAGCATTCTCTATTCAGTATCCATTGCACAGGACTCATGGCATATCTCTCCAATGAAAAAGGTCCAATTATGCATTTTGCAGTAAATCCATACCACATAGTAATGTAATTTAACTGCAAGGGATTTGTGTGTTAATGTATTTTCTACCTGTAGGCTGTGTTGTGTAGTGCTGCAACCTATCAGTCAAAAAATTAATTTTTTTATTCATGTGTCTTCTTCCCCATGATCTCATTAAAACATTCACTAAGTCCTGCCATAATCCATCCAGCAGATCGCCCACCACAACCTTCAAAGTTACAGTTTAATTACAATCATTCCTTATTTAATATACTAGCTGTTACCCGTGACTTTGCCCGTGGAGGTTTTGCAAACAAACCCCATTTATATACAGTATTTCAACAATCACAGTAATTGTTATATAACACCTACCACTGAGAATGATGAGAACTGCTGAGAATCAAACGAACTGTTTTCAATTTGATCAATTTTCTCGAACATTTACAATTGTTCTATAATCAAACCAATTTGCAATAATAAATTCAAATTTAAAACGGTTTGAAAATTTGGTTAAAAAATTGAAATACAGTGGTGCCTCGTATAACATACGCCTCAAATAACAGACGCTGTGAACAACAGACTTTTTGTTTGGCCGTTACATGACTTGAGCAACAGACTGACTGCAAACAATGGACTTTCCATTCAGCAGTTACATGAGGCAAACAAAGATCTTTCTGCAAACAAGTGTGAATGATGTTTCCACTCTTTTGCCATTGCCAATGACATCCTGCTATTTTTATAATATATTAGTATTATCAGAATATATTATTAGTAGGCCTATATCTGAAGTACAGAGCTCCTGTTGGGATTCTGCTTGCTCCCTTGTTTATTATGTACATCACCTCAGTGCAGGGTATTTACATTTATTCAAGTCCTATGCAAATCATGGCTTCTAAAAAAACAGAAAGGTGATTTCAATTGAAACAAAGCACGACATCATCAGAAGGAGTGAAAGTTGACAAAAACTTCAAATGGGAGAGGTTATAAGGAGTTTACCAACACTCATTTTCCAAACAGAGCTGAGGCCAACAGGATCAATGATGTCTACAGTGACACCCTTGCCCGTCATTTCCGACAGGTGTTGGAAAAGAGAGAGAAACAGACCACCTTGGACATGTTTTTCAAGAAGCAAGCTGCCAAAAAACAAAGGATGGAACAAGCGGAGATGAACCTGCAAGCTCCGGTAGCTTCTCCTGAATCTGACTCTGATTAAAAAACAATAAAAAGAGACCTGCTGCAATGTGTAAAAAGTCTGTATCTGTATGAATGTGTAAAGAAAGTGTTCCTCCATCTCCTCTTCACAACATCTGGCATAATTGGTGATTGCTCCATTTTCATTATTTTTTTTATGGTACAGTATGGTTATTTTATGCTGCAGAACAAATTATATGTTTTAATATGTATTTGTATGGAAAAATGCATTTCGTATAATGGACTTGTCACTTAATGGACGTGCACCTGGAACGGATTAAGTACATTATACCAGGCACCACTGTATATAAAAATATTTATAACAATGTCTGAAATGTTATCAATTTAATACACCTAAGTACTCAATGAAGACTAAACATAGTTGAAAACAAAAAATCGCATCTAAAATAGTACAGTAGAAGCCGTTCTTCCAGTTAAGCCTTAATCCTCTCCCTCTCACCCCACTGGGAAATTTCGACAAATCCCTTCTTAGCATGCATTCCCATGGGAAATTTCAACAAATCCATTCTTAGTGTGCATTCCCATACCCTACTAAAACGCAGTTAAAAACAAAAAAACCGCATCTAAAATAGTACAGTAGAAGCCATTTTTTCAGTTAAGCCTTAATCCTCTCCCTCTCCCCCCCGCTGGGGAATTTCGAAAAATCCCTTCTTAGTGTGCATTTCCATGATGTACCCTAACTGTGTACCAAATTTCACCTCTTTAGGTTCAGCAGTTTGCTCTGGGCGATGATGAATCAGTGACTCAGTCAGTCAATCAGGACAAGTAATTTTATATATTTAGCAGGGCTGTGGAGTCGGAGTTGTGGAGTTTTGGTGTTTTAGCCGGAGTCGGAGTCGGATGGTAAGGAAAAGTTGGAGTCGGAGTAAGTAGATTTTTATGTGACTCCACAGCCCTGATATTTAGATTAATACAAAGATTGATTAAATTATTACAGTAATTTATCATGTTAGTTACTACAAGAGTACTTTTATATAATATTTAACTTAATATCAAATTGATGATAACTAAATTGACAAGAACTAAAATTAATAAAATTATTTGAAACCTAATTCCATTTTTTAGCATGACTGAAATTATCAATATTTAATAATTCAAACATAATAACAAGTCAATTTTATGAGTAAAATATGACTCACTCAAATTATTAATATTTTACATACCTTGTTAAATTATTTTTACCTTCAATATGTTCAGATAATATTCTATAGTCACCTGAAAATAAAATTGAAAAATTAATAAAACATAAAAATTAAAATCAATATTTTATATCTTGTTAAAAGGCAAGGACTAAATTATTCTGAATTATTATAAATTAGAACTTAAGTAACTCAGGTAGTACAGTGTTTGATTGCTAGTGGTATGGTATCCCAGTAAAAAAATAGTTTATAATTTTCAAATAATATCAATTTTTAATATCAATTTTTATCATTCCTGTAATGAGTCTTGGACAGTTTCAAATGACCAAATGACTTGCAATAATATCATACATTTAATGTATGAAAAACATTTTCAGACCACTTAAAAATAATTCATACTATTTCCATCATTTAACAATTCTCTGATATAAAGTAAATAATTTTAGATAACTTGCTGTTTCTTGTTATTTTAAATGATTTCATGCTAACTAACACCAATTCACATCATTTTCCATTAACAAATAATTTCAAATAATATTTTTACTAGGGATTGGATTTATTTGTAAAACAAATACAGAATTTTCTTCTTACATATTTCTATTTTGCTCTGGAGTTCACTGAATTCTTTTTATAATAAATATAAGGGAGTAAAGATTGCAAGAGGATAGTATTAGTAACATCGTTGTTTTATGAGCTGTATAATGGCAGCAAACTGTACACATACTGCCTCTATACACATTTATAGCATGATAAATAAATTTTATAATGTTATCCTTTCCTTATAAGTTACACAAAAGTTAATTGAATAAAAATTTATGACACTAATAAGCAAATGTCATGAGCAGAAATGTGATATAGTGAAATGAGAGTTAGTGTTTTGATAAACAATTTCTAAAGTATATAACATACAAGAACCAATAAAGAACTAATATATTGTAATATACTAAAGTATATGTTCTATGTGCCTTCTACTTCTTTTTCTTTGTTTAGGATTAGTCTGGCTGGATTGGCTGGCATTTATCTTTAAACTTATGTGTTTGAACTTTCATAATGAGAGTTTGTATGTAAGAAGTGAAGAGCAATGCTGATTGAAAAAGGACATTTTTATGAAGGATACAAAGAAAAAGAAATGTCCTTTTTTCTTTGGTCTGTGGAATAGTAATTGTGAGAAGAGGAACAAAAAGAACAAATTGATAAAAAAGAAGGATTAGAAAAATAAGCATTTCATAAGGAGATCTGTGATTATATATCCTGCATTCCAACATAAAACAGAACATATGATCAGCAGGAAGAGGTTAGTATGCCCAGTGTACAGTACATACAGAGCCAATTCCATTTCTTTCTTTTGTCTGCCTTTATTAATATCCTATTAAATTAGACCTTGTTCATAAATTAAGTGATCCACAGTCATGTCAAATGAAAGATTGTCAAATTACATGTCCTGTGTAAAAAACTTGAATAATTTATTGTAGAAGCTACATATATAAAGAAAATACTTTAAAATATAAAATTTTATTATTTTCCATTTTTTTTAATTTGTTTATTTTATCTGAGTTTTGGGCAACTTAATCATTAACTCCACAATATCAAAAATTTAATTGAAAGAACAAGAATAAAGTATTCATATAATAATAACAGATATTTAAAGCTGCTATAATTTCAAAGTTATCATGATAGACTGTTATCACACAAACAGACATTTATAATCTTGATTTTTCCAATTTTCAATAAAAATATTTTTGATACTTTTTTGATGTAGTTAGCATATATGTAGTTTCCTTTTATAGCATTAATCTGTATATTTATAGTAAAGAGAACTCAGAAAGTTTGTCACAAAACATAAACCAGAAAGTTTATTAATGCTTTAGAATTTGTTGGAATAATTTTCAACTAATGTATTAAACAAGTTGGTGATTTTATTAGTATCAAATTCAAATTGATAATTCATGAATTTTTGTTATAATATAGATCTAAATATTATAAATTTTCTATTATTTCTATATCAAATATTTAAATCTGCTTGTTTTTTATTATTAACTGAGTAAAAATTTATGTTCACATGTAAAATGGAGCACAATAATTTAACCATATATTATTAAATATATAAAACATTTATCAAAACCTTTTTGAAAAGTAAATATTTTAAAAACTCTTAGATGTGAACCACATTTCACAAATGATTAAAGCTGTCACAAACACTATTCTACATAAGATGAAAAAATTTACTTTTATCTTTAAACCAACTTCCTAGCAAATCGGCTATTTGATAATTCCTATATGTACTTTAAGAAGCTGAAGTTGTCCTAAAACAGGTCATAAACATTTCTAATAGAATAAATAGTTTGGTTACATAAAGAAACAATTTTATTTTATTTTATTTTAGTTTAATTTGTCTTGTTAAAATGATGGAGTATTGAGATTATGCATCTTAAAAATTATTTATCAATTTTTGTATTTATATAATAGTGCTTAAACAATATCAGTACTTTATTCATCATATCTTTTTTATTAAATTAAGTTTGAGCATTAATTTCAAAATTATTTCTCTGTTTATCTCTAATTGATATTAATTTTCATGTCTAATACTGACTTTTAAATTTTTCAATGATTTGTTTGAATTCAATATAGGCTTTTACTTTTACTTAAAAAGTTTTCAGATATTGATTACATAGCTGTAAATAATAAATATTAAAACATTTACTAAAAAAAATAATTAATGGAAGACAAAATAAAATATATCATAAACTAAAATAATGTGGAACAAACTAATAACACTAAAAATCTGACACCACGATGTTCTATGAGTTATCAACAATTCAATTTTGATATCTCATACTCATAGCACATAACATAATATAAAATGAAAATTTTTCTTAAATTGTTTAAATAATTATATAATTACCTCTTGTTGGTGGTTGTACATATAAATTTTGATTACTTCTAAAAGCACATGAATTTGAAACATCAATTCCAGTTTGTGATGGTGGAGGAGGTGGTGGTGGAGGTGGTGATGGAAAGTCTAGATAAATTAAAATTTACAATTAATTCAAATTATTTACAAATTATTAATTATTTTCGTTATTTAATGGTATAATGACAATTTTTTAATAAAATAATGAATTATGATTTCTAAATGATGTAGAAATTATTTTAAAATATTCAATAATATAAAGCTTTTATAAAACAAAGGCATATGGTTTATACATAATATAAAAGTACATGTAGACTTATTTTTATTAGATAAAAAATACTAAAAAAGTTTCAATGTACAACTATTAATCAAAATTTAATCTTAGAAAATGTTAGTCTATTTCCAGGTTAATAATAAAATATATTTAGACTAAGATTAGGCTGTATTTTCTTTTATTTATTTATTCTACATCTATAAGGTAACCAGACATCCCACATTATATGGGACACATCCTACATTGTCCTATTTGTCCTGCTAGGATGCCTAAATGTCCAATTTTCTGTATTGGAGAATAAAAATACAATGCAACAAGCTAAACAAATAGACCTCATTGCCATCTGATGGTTGATCTATAATATATGCTTACATTTAAAGCAGGCATCATAGAGGAAGAGCATGCTAAAGTATATTTTTGCACTATAAGGGAATGAGCTGCTGTTGGCAATTTCCATAAACAGTTTATTCCATGCTAGGTGAGTAGCCTATGGATGAGGAATATGAAATTAAAGGTGTATCCAGAAAACAGTGTGCAGGGATGTTTTAAATTTAATGCATGGATGAACCTGACATTCTGTAATGCCAGCCCTCCTGCCACCTATGATGCATGAGCCTCAAAATGATATTATACAGTAAAACCTAGTTAAGATGTTCCTGCACACTATGTTCAAATTCTGCACACCTAAGTTGTTCAAATTCTGCAAGTCCTGTCATTTTGCCCATAAGATTTGTGTTAAAAATTCCCTCATAAGATGCACATGAGATGTTACAAAGTATTGGTCCAGTGAAGCAATTTTTAACCCTTAAAATGATCACATCAGCCAATAGTGTTCTCAGAAGCTGCATGAACAGGGATCCTATAGTTTCAAAAGAAGAGTGGCACAACATTAGATATTACTGAAAATTAATACCAAAATTTATGTAATTAGTTAGTTTAATGGCCCAATGCTAATGAACTTTAAACCTGACATTTTGAAAATTTAGATAAAAAATGAAATTTGTTAAGTTTGATTAACATTTATACAATTTCTAACCAATTTTCCCACCAATTTAACATTCAGAATGAATTGAAATTATACTTTTGACTGGCTGACAAATTTCAACTGTAAACAGTTTTGAATTTAAATTTGAAAATTCCTCCTCAAAATATTAAATTTATTTCTATGATTGGTTAGAAAAAAATAGTATGAATATTGATGTTACAAAGTATTGGTCCAGTGAAGCAATTTTTGTAGTCTCTATAGTATCTCTACTTTCCAACTAAGTTCTGCACTGTCATATCATATTGTAAGTATATATATTTTTATATATCATATTGGCCTGAATATTAAATGATATTTTTCTTAGTATCTTACATGTTAGAAGCTTGCACTAAAAACAAGAAGCAGGCAACTCTATATGAGAACTGTAAAAAGTTGTAAGTATTACAATTCATTGTACCTTTTCTGTAATCAAATATCTGGATTAAAAAAGTTTTTTTGCCATACCTGCCTAAGATGTTTTCCCACTTAAGACATTTTTCCAAGCCAGTCCCTTCAAAAACGTTTTAACAGGATTTTACTGTAATATGTTGATTGATTGATTGATGATGATGATGATATTATTAAGTTTTATAACAACTGTGCTGAGTATCTTCAAGAAAGAAGATGGCAATTTGAAGACATAAATGACTTTAGCTGGGTTGCTTTAAAAGAAACACTGACTTGGGAAAATATTGAAACAAGCCTACTACAAGTCATATCCAAATTTCCACATCTGGCTGTCAATGACAATGAATTATTTGATGAAATTACTTCATTTCCAAGTTTGCTTCCACAGAAAAGATTTGTGAGAGAAATGTCAAGAAGTCAACTGTTACAAATCAATGGGTATAAATATTTAGCCATTTCACAGCAAATCAAGTGCCATATAAATAAGTTTTAAAGCTTGTCAGATTTGTCCTGTGTCTCCTGGGAACCAATGCTACAAGTGAAAATGTTTTCTGTGATGAATGTTATGTGGACAACTGAGAAACAGAAGGCATGCTGTTGGTCAAGTGTAACTTTGATGATAAATCCTATGAGAAAGTTTATGAGAAGCTGATGAAAGAATCTGCTGTGTTATAAAAAATTCACTCATCTATAAAATATTTGGACAATGTACTGGAAGCATAACTCCACATGCTTTCAGTCCATTGTCTACTTCAGACTAGAGTAACTCGCAGATAAGTCAAGGTCAAATAAAAAAGTTACAAAATAAACAAAGCACCTTGTAACTCTGGCAGAAAATTTAATAAATCAGAACGTTTTCAACCTAATATCATAGGCTTTCTTCAGTAAATTAGATGAATTTGAATTAAAAAAAACAAACATAAGCACATCAAATGCAATAGTAACAATTTAAAAAATTAAGTGTTCCAAAGAGATCACTTGCATAGTAAATTAAAATTAGCAAAATAATTAAACAAATAAATAAACAAAATGGTATGAGAGTGCTAAAAATAGAGATTAATATAAACAAAAACAAGTCCCAAATTACATTTGATAAATGAACTTGTCATTTTGCATCAATCATAAGGTATCAGCACCCTTATGATTGATGCAAAATAGTTTCTGGTTGACTTTAAAAATTTCTAAGAGTTCTAGTATCCTAATAGTATTAGAATTTGTAGCTGGTCTAATGATTCTAATCTCTTTCCATTTTTAATAAGTTAGCTTATTGATCTTGTGATTTATTTCTTAGTATAAAAATGTGGTCAATAAATACACCTACAGGTCATATTAATTACATGTACTGATACAAATAATTATTTGTAACCAACAAATAGGTAGTGAATACTGTACTGGTATTAATCTGGCATTCTGCTTTTGTGTCCAAGAAATCTGGTTACCTTAACATCTAGTAATTCTTATTTAACAAAAAATCTGTAGAATTTATAATTTACCTTTACAAAATTAATACTAATAGTGGATTGTGTTTGTATTTAAATATGATAATATATTTTATTTTAAATCTGTGGTAAAAAAAATGAAAATGTATATTTTTTTAATTTGTAATATTGAGTTACACTAGTTTGACACTTTAAGCTAGATTTTATTGTTAAGTCAGGTACAATTTCATTTATTTATCAAATAAATATAATAGGAATGTTTTCATGATATCAAAAGATTATTTTTGGAATTTTTTACAAACTTAATTTGAATCTCATAATTATTCTTATTAAATAAATTTCAAATACCTTGGATATTTTTATTTTCAGGTAACTCATAAAAATTACTACTGGACCACTTTTCAAATTCATCAGCTATTCTTGATTTACCATTTTCTCTCATTATTACAAGTTCTAATTTCTCCTTGCAATTATCTATCATTTTTTTTGCTTCTTTTAAAGTTAAATTTTCTGCATTATTATTATTAATCTGTAAGATAATGTTTTATAATTAGGCATTAATAAATTAAAATCTAATTTATTTATATATATATGTATATTTGTTTAAATGTTAATTTGTAAGCTTTATTTCTGTGCATATATATATGCACAGAAATAAAGCTTACAAATTAACATTTAAAAATGTGATAAAGATTTTACATTCACAAATATTAACATTAGTCAGTGAATATTTGATTTTTCAGTAAATATATTTTAGTACTTATTGTTATATTTTTATTTACATGTTTATGCTCTTTTTTTATGTAATAGGTTAAAATTATTTGAAGTTGCTATTATTTTTTCATTTTTTTTTTATTAGTATTTACAATTATTTTAATAACATTTCATGTCTTGAATAACCTCTCCTCTAATAACAATAAAAAAGTTTTGTCTTACATAATTTTGTAAATCAATACATAGAATTTATTTTATATATTTGTTACTGTAAAAGTCCATATATTGGTAAATCCTAGGTTTTACTTGTAAATCTTTACCAACTCATGTTGTAAATCCTGGAAGATCATCTCACTTTATAAAAATTCTTACATTTACCAACTCATGTTGGTAAATCCAAAGATTTACAAGTAAAACCTAAATTTACCAATATACGGGCTTTTACAGTAACACATACACCATTCCTCTTTAACCCCGTTTTCACTACATGCTAACTTTACTCAGTCGTACCAAGTTTGTCTGGATCTTCCTTTCGTTTTCCTGTTTTGTGGATTGTATTCCATTGATATTTTCGGGACTCTCATCACTCATTGTTTTCACATGTCCAAACCAAAGAAGTTGTTTCCTCTTTATTTCTTCCAAAACCATCTCCTTCAATCGCATTAAGTCTTTGATTCTCATTAGTTATTCTTTCTCTTTTTGAGATTCTGCATGATCTTCTCAATGCATCCATTTCAACCATTGTTACTTTTCTCTTTTCTTCCCCAGTCATTTTGCATGCCTCCACCCTGTATAACANAGTTGCATTTCTTGAAACCTTGTCCTCTGGTCAAAGACAATTTTGCGACAACTTCTCAAAGACTCGCTTCTTTATTTTTAACAACTTCTTCTATCTTGATAAAGTCTTCAGGGCATGAGGTAAATTGATTTTGTGTATAAAGCTGCTTTAGCACTCCAATTTTGGTACCTAGTTGGTAAAACTCGTTGTCCTTTACATCTATTACAACTGCAATAATGCTTTTCGGGTTGGTTTTAGTTTTGTCAATTTCAGGCACTTTCAGTCTTACATTTTGGCCAATTTTCATATTTGGATATTTATCAACAGACATGGCTTTCATTTTTTCAACTTGTTTTTCTCCAAACTCAATTTTACATTGTTTCTTATAGTCACTACAGATTCTATTTTTTTTTTTTTTTGGTATTGGCTCTATAGTTACATGAACTTCCTGAGACTCAATCATGTTTTCTGTCTCTGAATCTGTATCTCTCTGAATCATTACATTGGAATCATCAGTTATTTGCTTCGCCTTCATCATCTCAGTAATAATCATTTCATCTGTGTTTTATCATTGAGAATGCTATTGTCTATATCCCCTTCTGACTCATTTTCAACAATATTTCTTCCTTGTCCTGGTTGATTGCATTTTCGACATCATTATTTTGTTCCATATTGTCTTGCAAATGAAACAACTTCTCTAAATCTTCTTCAGATCTTATAACTCTAATCATATCACCAGGGATTGCTGAAGTTGCAAGGCCCATTTTCATTGGAAAACCAAACATTGCTTCGTAGGGAGAACATTTAATTCCCTCGTGATATGCTCTATTTTTCATTGTCTGGATGAATCTTAAACCCTCTGACCACTTTGATAACTGATTGGTTTCCATCCACGTGCTCAACAAATTTTCTATGTCTTGATTAGCACGCTCCACTGATCCTTGACTTTGGCTATGTCTTGCCTTTCCATGTACGATTTTCACATCCGGCCACACAGAGCATAAACTATCAATAACTTGGTTAGAAAATTCTTGGCCATTATCAGAATGAAGGATGCTCGACGCTCCGAAAATGGTGGAAATATCCAAAAGATGGTATGCAACTTCTACTGTGTGTTAAGTTTGAAGTGCACAAAGGATCACAAAATTTGGTAAGATGGTTTTGGTAAACTAAAATAAATTTATAATTTCCATCTGGGGTAGTTAGATCAACCTGACAGCTATGAAGTATAGGTCTGACGACAATGCCCTTTTTCAAAGTCTTTTGTTTCTTTTGGCAAGATTGACATAGCTTCAAATATGTCATAGTAGCCTCAACTGTTACATTTTTATACTTGCGGTTACATTCCTTAATCATCTGTGTCTTTCCACTGTGGCCAACAGCAACATGCGTTTCTTCGAGAATGTTGAATAAGTCCTTGTAACAAATGTAATACCTTATTTCTCCATCCTCTATAGTTACATCCTCTCCATCCTTCATAGATGCAATTAGTTTTTCTTTGCCACCTATAGTCAAAATGTTGTAACGCTTTATATGCCTGTAATGAACAGCTTTATTTATTTATTTCTTTTTCATGCTCTTTGCAGCTTTTACTTCCTCCAAACACTTTGCGTATTTGTCCCTATTGAGATAAAAGTTATTATCTTTCTTGCTTGCAATGAGCTCATCCATTATTTCATAAAATCTCCATTTCACACTCATCTTGATTCATAAATAACTTTTAAACAGAGAAATCTCAAACAAGATTAATGTGCGTGTTCTAATGTGTCAAACGATGGAATGCGGCGAGCGAAAGCGACGGTGCAGTGTGGTACAGGATTGGGGACTATTTTTTCAACATTTACCATGTCTCTGAGATAAAACCTAAGATATACCAAGTAAATGCTGGTAAAAGTTTGAAACTAACAATGATCGCAGAACATTTCGGACTTTTACCACAATGATTTGGAAAATCTTAGGATTTACCATAGTTCGAGCATTTACAGTAACATATTCATTTACTATATGAAAATAAGGTAAACTTTTTTATTTAGTTTTTCACATATTTTTCATTATCAATAGTATGTAGCAGCATTTTATAATAAGAGTTTTAATTTTAAAAAAAATTTAATAAAAATTTATAGGATGTTCAAAAAATCTTTTTGTTTTATAAATTAAAACAATATATTTATATCAAAGGACGAATCTATATATTTACATTTTAAATGATTAATACATTAATAACAAGATGTAACTATTTTCTGCAGACAAAGATTGTTACTGTTATTTTAAAAGTGAGAATCACTCTAGTTTTCTAAATTTCTAATTTAAAAATTTTCAACAAATTGTCATTACATCATTAAAAGATGTTACAATGAATCCGAAATGATATTACTGTATTCCCCAGCACTTATTAATTCATAATGTTCAGTAATCTGTCACTCTCCCAATTTACCCAATAGTCTGAGTAAGTTTTTCTTTATTGTTACTTGTTAAACTGAATAGTAATAAAATTAGTTCAATTAATAGTTAATTTATTAGAAAAATTTTATCATCATCTTTTTCTGCATAATATTTGTAAGTACATGAAATGACAATGAAATAAAACGATCTTATATAATAAAAATAGAAACTGAACCTGATAATTCCAATAGTAATGAAAAAGAATATAACCAAAACAAAGTTAGTATCAAAAACTGTAAGCAAAAGAATATGAATAAAATGTATTTTATCTTTATTGTCTTTTCTATCATATAAAAAAGTCACATAATATGTAATTAATAAATACACAGTTTACATACTTAGATATTATAATAAGAGGAATATTCATTTCTTTAATCCATCTTTAAAGCTAAATTTTTATTTAAAATAATTAAAACTTAACATATAACTAACAAAATAAGATCAATTTACTTTTAGAATTACATCCCCTTCTTGTATTGCTCCATCTTTCTCTGTTATTGAGAAATTTGCAATTTCTTTTACAAATATTTTACACGCTAAAACAATTCCAAAATCTAAAAAAAAAAACAAAAATATCTTTATTAGTAGAGTAAGTATATCTAAATATTATAAAAATAATAATTTTAATAATTGTTTCCTTATTATTTAAACACATCTAGTGAAATTAAATTGTATGTATATTTTTTACTATACATTACAAATTTTATTAACATTTTATTATTATAAATACAATGACAGAGATAATGGAATACTGATACAGGTATACCTCGCCTTACGTCGGTAATTGGTTCCAGGAGAACGACGTAAGTTGAATTTACTTGTCTCCGAATCTACTTATCACTAGGCTAAACCGTAAATTACCATTCCTGGTTCTGTATTTTATCTATTAATGCATTTTTAATAATATATGGTTAATAAAAATCTATTTTAAGCTTACAAACAAATAAATTTTAGTTTTTTAATATAGTACAGAAAAAAGTAATCTAAATTCACGAATGCATGTACTGTAAATACAGTACATACTTGTATATATTTTAATATGATTTTATGTGCTTTAAACGTTTTTCTAGTGATATTACGACTTCAATATTTGTGGCGGACAGACGTAAAATTGAATAAAATGACTTAAACTTGATTTTTATTTTTCCATATACTTTTTTGACAAATGACGTATAATCGGGAACAACGTAACTCGAAACGACGTAAGTCGAGGTATGCCTGTACTTGTAATTTTGAAGGTTTGTTTGTATTTTTCATCACAATATGGTAAACATACATCAGATATAATTTGTTCATGATAAACATATCTAAATCATTAAGAATAATTCATATGCACTAGAAATGAAACAAAAGCCATAATCTTTTGATTTTCAGAAAAAAAATCAGATAAAAACCAAGAAAAAAAGAAGTCTTTGCAGTTGGAATGTTGAATGTATTATTAGTCTATTAGTGTAGTCTTCCATCAAAATTGATGAATCTAATAATTTTGGATGAATAAGATGCAATTATATAGTACTCAAATATCTAAATGAAAGTAATTGTTTAAACATTATACTCACTAAATCATAAATATACAACAAAACTGAACATAAACCAAGTGTGTAATCCATGAATATAATATAAAGTGTAACAAATTATTCACATCTTATAATTAAATAGAAAGATGTTAAATACAATAACACATAAACACATATTTTAATTGATCTTATGTTCTTAATTTGTAAAATTATGGTTCTTTTATTGCATTTTGCTTGCAATACAGTAAAAATGGATTTGATGAATCTGTAATCTTCAGTAAAAATGTATCCATTTTCACTGTATTGCTCTTCTTCATGTCTTGAACAATTTCACCTCTAATAACAATAAAAAAGTTTTGTCTTACATAATTTTGTAAATCAATATATAAAATAAATTTTATAATTCATTTAGTACATGAAAATAAGGTAAACCGTTTTATTTGGATTTTCAAATACAGCTTTTATTCACTTCATTTAATCTATAAAATATCACTAAACATCATAATACAGTAAATCAATGAATTGTGAATTAAATTTTATGATTTAACAGTCTTTACTTAACTTATTGAAGTCTTTCAATCATCATTTTACTATTTAACTACATAATGACTTAATAACAAATAATGAATCAAAACAGAAATATATTTAATTATTTTCCTAACAGAATTTTCAATTGTTCTTTTGAAATAAATTTTAAATAAAATAATTTCAATTAAAATAAATTTACAGAACATTAAACAAATAAAATTTATCTATACTAATATTATAAAGAGGTAATGTTTGTATGTATGTTAGTTTGTATGCAGCAGGTAATCTCCGAAACTACTCATCCGATTTCAAAAATTCTTTCACCAATATTTAGAATGGAACGTCAGGGTGGACATAGGCTGTATGTTATTCCGTTAAACATGGGAGATGGACAGTTCTTTACGGTAATCTTTCCCCGTAAGGCTTACCGTAAAGAACTGTCCATCTACCATGTTTAACGGAACTCTGCTTCTGTTTATACTATTTTAGATGCAATTTTTTGCGTTTTTGATTGCGTTTTAATAGAGTACGTCAACAGAATGTACACAAAGAAGGGATTTTACGATATTCCCCCCACGGGGAATAGCGACAGGATTAAGGCTTACTGTGAAGAACTTGGCTTCTATTATACTATTTTAGATGCGGGTTTTTGCGTTTTTGATTGCATTTTAATAGGGTACGTCAATAGAATGTACACTAAAAAGGAATTTTTCGATATTCCCTCCGCGGGGGAGAGCGACAGGATTAAGGATTACTGTGAAGAACTTGGCTTCTATTATACTATTTTAGATGCGGGTTTTTGCATTTTTGATTGCATTTTAATAGGGTACATCAATAGAATGTACACTAAAAAGGAATTTTTCGATATTCCCTCCGCGGGGGAGAGCGACAGGATTAAGGCTTACTGTGAAGAACTTGGCTTCTATTATACTATTTTAGATGCGGGTTTTTGCTTTTTTGATTGCGTTTTAATACGGTACATCAACAGAATGTACGCTAAGAAAAAATTTTTCGAAAAATTTTCTCCCACGGGGGAAGTGTTATATATTTATAATAGATACATTTTGAGCCACAACAAGGTCTGCTAGTAACAAATAAAACAGCTACAAATATTTTGAAATATAGTAAGACCCTGCTTAGTGTTGCCTTGATTAACGCTTATTCAGCATAACACAGTCTACTCAAAGCCTAAAAAAAAGTCAAAATTTATGCTGATTCAAATTATCGCAGCATTTCATTGATTCATATATAATACGATTATTTATAAACGCGAACCAATCAGCAAAAGGTGGCAATTTATCGTAGCACTGTACTTTCTATGTTTGTTTTGTGCAATTTTGGAAAAAATACAACATTGTGGATGCCATAGGAAATATTGACTTTGCTTGGCAAGAGCTGATAAATGTGTGAACAGAGTGTGGAAGAAGTTATGGCTGAAGGTATCCAAAAATTCTCAACAAGAAGAGCCTATCACTATATTGTTAGGCTGACCAAATTGTCAACCTAATTAATACAGCAGGACTAGGAGAAGTAAATGAACAGGATATTAAGGAGTTACTGCAGGTTTCTGGTGAGAACCTTACCAACGATGACCTTCAAGAACTGGCAGAACAAGGAATTCATGTGCAACTGGAAAATAGTGATTCTGAAAATGAAGAACCCAAAATATTTTTCTACAAATTTCCTTAATAAAAGTTTGGTAACAATAACCAAAATCATTGATCAAATTGTAGCAAATGATCCAGATTTTGAAAAAAGTACAAAAGCAAAACAAGACATTTTGGATGCAATCTTCTGCTACTGACAGTTGCTTAAGAAAAGAAAAAAAGGCAATAAATGAAACTACACTACTTTATCACAAAAAAACAAGAATTTCAGAAGAGCCAGGACTTTCATCACAAAAAATGAACTTTACATTTCTGTGTGCATCCCCACGTTAAGCGGGTTCTTACAGTATTCAGTTTTTCTTTTCATAAGTTTCTGTAACTTGTCTAATGTGATGATTTGATGATATATTTTGTAGATATGAATAAATGTGACCCATATCATAAATAATAATAAATACAGGGTGGGCAAAAGTCTATAAAAACTTTAAAAATTCATATAAAATGGAAGAATTATTAGAATAAAGTATGGTTTGCATGGGAGGTTTGTTGATGGGAAAAATTAGTTCCAAAAATCTATAATAGGTGACATTGACATACAAAAGAAATGCAAATGACAATAAATTTCATTCATTGTCATTTGTGTGTATTAGACAAGCAAGTGTTCAACATAGCTTTCATCTCAGGATATAACAATTTAGCTGAGTAACAACACATGCAACTACAGAGTACAGCATGTCTGAATGGATAGATGGATGGATGTTACTTCATAACAAATAGCGTTTTTCAATTCCAACAATGTGGAAGGACCTGATCAAAATATCTGGGACTTTAAATACCCCACAACCAGAAATCACATTAAAAGTCATTTTCATTGTCATTTGCACACCTATTCATTGTCATTTGTATGATTTTTGGAATTTTTCCTCCTGCCAACAAATACCCCATACTGATATGCTGATAATACTTACCACATAAACTGCATTTCATTCCAATAATTCTTCCGTTTTTTTTTATGAATGTTTAAACTTTCTACAAACTTTTTTCCCATCCTGTACATAAAATAATGTAATAAATCTGTATGCACTTTTATTATCAATTTAAACAATAATTAAAATAATGACATTATACATTAAATAAAACAAAACGTTTTATTTCATGTACAATGTCATTATTCCATTCAATTTCAAACATTAATTATGAATTCATAATTAAAAGGAAGATAAACAAGATAATTGTGATGTATTGAAAGTACAGTGGTACCTCAGGATATGAAATTAATCTGTTCTGAAACTGAGATCGTATCATGAAAATGTCGTAAGGTGAATCATTTTTCCCCATATGATTACATGTAAAACCAAATAATTCATTCCAACACGAAAAATACACTCAAATTAAAGCTAAGTAGTACATTAAAAAAATAACTATAGTAAGGAAAACATTGAAAAATGCATTTTGTAGTTGTAAATTTATAAATAACCATAATAGAATAATAATTGATTAAAAAAATGTAGTTTTATTTGCACTTTACCTTTGAGGATAGACGACGGTGGAGGTGTAAACTGTGGTGGCGGAAGAGAGGGAGAAGGGAAATGATATTAAAACTTAACTTACATAACATAATGTAACAATAACTTAAAAATAACCTAGAAAAGATAAAAAAAACTAGTGTTGTTTTATATATATAGATATATATTTTTTTTTAATTTTTATTCACTGCTTTTTGCTTTCTTTCTTCACTTTCACCAGCACTTTCACTGGATAGAGGTCGCTTGGTAAAATATCTATCCATAGAGGTTTGGCTTTGCCTACTTTTTAAAATGTTTCTAAAATGGCTTAGGCAAATGTCATTACTCCGAGCAGCAATACGACCAGTGTGAACCTTTTTGGGATGTTTCTTTTCAATAAAATCAGTCACTTTCTGATAATACCTCAAGATTTCCTTTATCTAGCGAGATCCTTCCATGAGAAAGCAAACACGTGGACTGAGACCAATGAACAGAAGTGAATAAAAAATGGCGCTGCGAACTAATGTAACGTCGTATGGCAAGTTTTTGTTTGTATCGTGGAGCAAAAATGTGTTTGATTTTCATGTCGTATCCTGAAAATTTCGTATGCTGGGGCGTTTGTATCTTGAGGTACCACTGTAACCAAATAGTAAGATTTATAGAAAAATTTTACATAGAAGTAGAATGTATAGTTATGAAATAAAAGGACTCAAAACAGCAAGACAATGAAGGAATACTGTGCCAACAACAACAATTAGGATAATAAAATTTATGAAATCAAAAAAAGTTTTACTGTTTTTAAAATTATCTTGTTTATGTTTATGTAATTTTCAGATATATATTATCAGATATTGTACATAAATACAAAATGGTCATCATATTTTATAAATTTCAATCTAAAATAGTGTATTAAATTAGATAATTTCTTATCCAAACTGAAAATAAATACAACTTAGAATAACAATAATCATTTATATTATTAATATATATAAATAATAGTTTTATATATTATTTAACAGCATTGTAAACAGTACATTTGGTTAAACACAAAAATGTTTCATTAGTTGTCTAATTATTTCATTAATAATTTTAAAATAATTTATGTCAAATCTAAAATGTGCTTAAACATATCCTACTTAATTAAAATAAACTAGAAAAAATTTAATATTTATTCTTATGATTAACTTTACCATCTTTCTTTTTGTTTTTAGTTAAAGTAACTTTCATTGTCTGTGGTTCTGTGCTATTTGGAGGTAACACAATTCGTCTTTTAATTCCCTAAACAAATAAAATTATATAAGTAAAACACTTTATAAATGACAATTTATTAATTTAATTTTTAATTTCCACAATTATCTGTTAATAAATAATGATTCTAATAAAGTAATTTAAAATTTTAGATATTTACAAATCTTTATTTAAAAAAAATGTATTTATGCAATCCTAAAATCAGGGATGCACAACCTTTTGTGAAGAAGGGCCAAATTAGGATTAAGTTTACTGACTGGGGGCCAGACCCCCAAGCGATTAATGCGATGGCTGAGATTGGATGCTGGCGGCAATCTTCTTGATGTCTGGTATAATGGCAATGTTGAAACAACCAGCAGATTTTCCAAATTCTCTTTGGTTAACCTGTTCCGTGTTTTGCACTTGTTTAAATTCATAAGCGAAAACGCTTGTTCGCATACATAGGTACTGCCAAACATGCTTGCACAAAATCGAGCATTGTCTTTCAGTTTTGGAAATGATGNCTGAGTTTTGAAACAATTTAAATTGTAAGTAAATTTTTATAATTTTAAAATAGATAAATTTCTGTATTAAAATTAAAATTTCTCATTAGTTTTCTGACAAAAAAAAATGACACACATTAAAAACAAGAAATATAAAATTCAAATAATACAATATAAAAAAAACTAATAATTTAAGATGAAAATATCTATAGAAATATAAGAACTGATATCATTTGTAGCTTATTTCATGCTTTTAAACTAATTTATTTTAACTCGAAACTTCTCATCCCATGTAATTATTTGAATTAAAATTATAAAATTATAAATATAATTCAATATATAATTTAAATTTTATTAAAATTTAAATTATTAAATTACTTATTTATTTATTCACAACTGAAAAAACAGCATTGCAAAGTTGATTTGAATTTTATTACTACTTAAGAGTATATTCTGTAAAACAATACTTCTCAGGTTTGTTAAGTTGAAGATCACTTTAATGTGCTGGAAAATCATCATACCAGTAATTTATAATTTGTAACTTTAGTAGTATTATTAATTAGTTAAGAAAAATCATTCTAAAAAACTCTAAAACAATTAATTATATTTTAATTTTATTTATAAACTTATCAAATATTGCAAATCATCAATTTTATGTGTTGCAGGTTTAGAACAGAAACATTTAAATAAGTAATTATATTTAATTATTATATAATAAAAGCAAATAAAAAATTAAAAGTTTTAAAATTATCTTTTATTTTCAAAGATAAATTTAGTAAATTAAGAAAAACAAAAAAATTTAAACTAAAATATTAGTAAATTTTCAAATTCTCATAATAGAAAGTAAATATTTAAAAAATAAATAAATAAATAACAAAAAACGTCTTAAAATTTAATTTAGATTTTAGAATATGGCTTTTTCAATGTTTATGGATTTAATTTCATTTTATTATTTAGAACATTGTTAATATTTAAACAGTTTTATTTGATTTACCAAAGCTTCATCTCCCAAGTGAAAAAAACAAATTACATTAACAGAAAGTGCAAGAAAAAATGTTTATTCACTAAACAATCTACAATATAACTTCTGTAATGTGATTAATAATACATTATATTCTTTCATTATTTTGTTTGGATCCACACTTTCTTTATTCCAACATAGAAAAGTAAAACTTACTTTAATCTTCCTTCTGCTGGTCCAGCTTTCAAAACGTCAGAAATAGCTATTGATGGATCTCCATTTGCAAAATGAGGATTATCTCTACCTCCGCTAACAGCTATACCAAAACCATAACCAGGAACCTTATAAAAAAAAATTAAAATTATCATCACTATATTTTATAAACTTAATAAAATTGAAAAAAAGTCATAAAAATTACTCTAGTTAAGGTGATATTGTGTAATTCCCAGGTTTCTCTCTCACTTCCCTGTAAAATATAACACTCTTCAGTAATGTTATGAATATAATAATCTTAAAAAATACTAAAAAATTATTTTGGTGTAGAGCATAAAATATTAAAAGTTTTCCATTTTTATGTATTCTGCACTTAAAACAATGTTATTCTAGAAATAATATAAAGAAAAAATTCTATATAAAAAAAATAATTACAGGTAACCTTTCATATATGTGATTGATTGATACCTCACGTATACCGCATATATCAAAGTTCACAATCAATGGGATATAAATTAATTCAATGAATTAAGTCATTAAGAAGTCATCTAAAATCATAACTTTTGACATTTATATTTGTTTGGTCAGAGTAAAAAATAAAAAATGAAGAAATCAAATTTAAAAAATTTTCTTAAAGAATTGTTAATTAATTAAAGATTTTAGATAATATAAAATATAGTTTGACACAAAAATCAAAACAAATTGCGGAAAATAACATTAATGATTGATTATAAATTAAGTGGTTAGTCTAAAGTTTCTAAACTCTTTAAAGATTTAATATGTGTCTCTTTAATCTGAATTAGTAAAAATGGTAGACTTTCTCTCAGCTATTAGGTTAAGTACTCCTATATTGCAAATCACAAATACATGTTGGGCTCAGGGGCTCATATAGGCCCGAAATGCATTTGTGATTTGCAATAAAGGAGTACCTAACCTAATATCTGAGACAAAGTCTACCATTTTTACTAATTAGGATTAAAGAGACATATACCAAATCTTTAAAGATTGATGAAGAGTTTAGACCAGTGTTTCCCAACCTTTTTTGTGCTAGGTCCCACCTAAGCCTTTCTAAAATTCTTATGCCCCCCTAACATATACAGCGGCTATACGGTTAACTTAAACTCTGGACGAGTCCATTTTCGAATTGCCCTCTTAACAATCCAATGCCCCCCTGTGGGACATGGGCCCCACGTTGGGAAACACTGGTTTAGACTAACCACTAAAGAAAGCAAAAAACATGAAGTAAAAATTTTAAAAATCAAACAAAATATTTATCAAGTGTCGCCTATACAGTTGCTGCTTTCATTTTTTTCCTGGTAAAGTTTTTCGCAAAAGCTGACGAATTAAAACAGAAATGTTTGTAGAAATGAGAAAATTATGAATTAAACTATCCAAATAAGAGTACTGCACTAGAAAAATTAAAAGTTTATCTTTCTGGTGGAGATAAGTGATCGATTTATCAATAGTATTGCTAGCTCTGAGCTTTGCCGAGTTTAGAAACGTTAAACTTCCTTCAGCATTAACCGAAACCGTACTGTCCGACCGCATATGTTGAGGGTTACGTATATTCTATTATATATATAAATGTAGGGCCTACTTACTCTTTATCTCATTGATTCGGACTGACTTTTAAATTAACCAAATATGTTTAGCTAATTATTTATACGTAGATAAATTATCAAAAAGATAAAAAATTAGCACTCATGTAAGAAAAAAACTTTCTTCGATAAAAGATAAACAAAAATTTAAAAGCACATAATTTTAATATTTACAAGCATTTATTTATTGTGACATCGCCGGGTTGCAATTTTTAATCATATTTTTAAAAATTTCATTTAAAATATATGCTCTCCACCTCAATTTAGTAGTGTCTTGCCCCTGTAAATCATACTTTTCCGTTAGCAATGGAGTCGTGCCGGTCATCTATTAACTGCTTCCAGGGGAAAAGTTTTGAAATTAAATAATGTGACTTCACGTTTGCATCGGAAGTTCATATATAGTTAATCGGGGCTTCCTGCCTCCAAGGTTTCCATATCCGATCTCGTTTTCAATCTATCTAACTCCGTTCTCGAGATTAAGGAAAGACAGATGGACAATGAGAATTTATAGATCTACAATTTTTTTCAAATTGCAGCCCAATAATAATTATATTAAAGCCGAAGAATAAAGACGAGTTGTCGAAATATAAATATCTGTATTTAAATTTTATTTAAACCAAATAAAGAAGTGTAATTTAAACTATGTTGTCTAGCTAACGAATTTGAAGACGGGGTAAGTTGTACGAGAATTCAAGTGAACTCGGATTACTAACATTTTATACAAGGAAACGGTCATCTAGGGAAATAAACTGAACGTTCTCATCACAGTAAACTGCCTTATATTCAATATTTTCCTTAACCGATATAACTCTCTTGCAGAAGCTATCACATATAATGGAGCACTTTATTGCTCAAGTTTCGCATTACAGTGATATATAGAGCGAATTTTATAAAACTATTTAAGAACATTCATTTCCTAATCGTAACAAAATCATCTGCAATAATAATATATTGAAAAATTGTATTGCTAAATTTTAAAATAATTTCATATTTACAATATGAAAATATTGATAAATCAATACTTTAATTAATGAACATATTCTCTTTCTTAGGAATAGAAGTATAAATTTTTATACAAGTCTGTTATTTTTAAAGCCATTTAATAAAATATAATCTATGCAATTAAAACCTAAAAGTTTAATATTTAATAAATTTAATTTTAAAAATTAGTTTAAAGATGTAAATTTAAATAATATGAACTAACTTAAAAGTAAGAAATACAAAATTCGAAATATAATAATGTAAAATTGCAAAAATAAATTTAAATATTCTAACGTTTAAATAATTCCGAATAATATTTAATATCAGAAATAATATATATTTTATATTTAAATTAAATATTTATTAATATTTCTTTAAGTAAAGAAGAGAAACTGTTGAAATTGTCTTATGTAGACAAGATAATTTCCTATTATCGAAGAAATAAGGCAATCGAAATTAACACGATACAAGTAGTTAATTCGATTTTTATATGAAGCCTACAGAAATAAACAAGAATAATTGCACTATAATATATATATATATATACAGTATAGTATAATAATTAGACAAGAAATAGTATAAATAACTAAACATTAATTATTATTATTATTGATATGTTAATTGATGTATTTTTACATTATATTAGATTTTATGCTTTTTCTTTTTGTCGTAAAAAAATATAATTAATTATATTTAACTGAAAATATTTATATTTTTAATTCTTTGATTACAAATTTATGTTAGCTTTTATGAATTATTCTTGTTTTCAATCCTTTGAAATAATCATGATTATATTTTGGAATTTCATATAAGATATTAATCTTATTTAGTGTTTATATCCTACAAATTAATTGATTTTAAACACGTTATGTGTGTAAAATAAATTTTCTAGCAATTTTATAATGGCTTATTGAAATTGTGAAATACAAAAATTATTTTTTTTAATTAATCACTTTTTATCGCGCAGAAATAAATTTTACCAGCATGTTGTAGTTTTTCCCTAAAGTTAAAACAGTAGAAAAATGGATATTTTAAGAGAAACAATTTTTCAAGGAGTAAGTGAAAAAATTTAAAAAAGAAAATATCGAAGAAACTATTATTATTTTTTTATTGTAAAAGAGTTTATATCTTACGAACATAAAAATAATACATTTATAAGATTTTATTCTTGACTCATAGAAAAATATATGAAATTTTTTTATCATCATACTATATAAACACCTACTATATAAACAATTCAACATTTTCGAAAATATTTAAAACTATATATAGAAACTCCATTAACCAGTGTTCCATCAACAGGAGATCCAATTAATAGGATCGTGTATTCAAATATGATTTTGAAAAATTGTACTTACAAACTACATACAAATTAATCTTAAATAATATAATAGTACGGAATAAAAATTATTTGATTTAGTTAACAACTGCTACTTTACACCTGGTTAACTAATATCAGACAAAAATAAACAATGCAAAAACCTAACGAACCAGCGAGAAAATTATACACAAAGTGCGAACGTTTTCGCCCGTTTAGAAAACGTTCGCACTTTGTGTATAATTTTCTCGCTGATTCGTTAGGTTTTTGCATTGTTTATTTTTGTCTCATTTGATTGTTTCATAAAAAGAGAATACGTACGTTTGTCTATACAATTTCAGTTTTGCTTTGATACACAAAGAATTAAGCGGAAATATATTGTAAACATATCATCCTTAGAGCAAATGTGTATAATTAATCGCGCATTGGATAACGATAAGAATCTTTTGAAAGTTTTTTTTTCTCTGTTGAATTTATATTGTCAAATAGAAAAAATTCAGTGCCGTAAATGAGAATTCTATTAACCGTGGTTCTTGATTATCTGAGTAAATCTCTCCCTATCATTATCATGGTTAATGCCGTTTACATTGTATATGAAAATAATCTATAGCAAAATATTTAGAATATAAGATTTAATTCTAATGTGAAAATTTCGTTAAACAAAACAGTTTTATTTTTTAATGACATTTGTTTCAGTTTAAATTTGAAGAAAACTCGAATAAGCAAACATTATGCATTAAATACTTCCAGAAGCAACTCTAGCTTAATTTGCTGTCCTAGGTACCACATAAATCACCGTCCCTAAATTTTAACATAACGTAACTTTAAACCAATCTGACATTTAAATAAGAAAAAAAATGTACAGATCTTCCTAATATTACATTATATTTTTTTATTTTATAAAAAAAGTTATTTTAAAGTACTGTTATGTCCGTAAGATGCCTAACGAATGGACTGACACTAAATATCGCATCAGTAAAGCAAATTTTTATTCACGCAGAATTAAATTATCTTAAACCAGATTTTAATTAATAAAACAATTTTCATCAAAATTTTTTTTTTGTAATTCTAAAGTGCCAAACATTTCAGCAGAAAGGACAAGCATATAATTAAAGCTACACGTCACAGACATTTCTAATTGATAAAGTCAACTGTCATATCCTCTTGAGAGCTCTGTTATCCGCAACCATGATTATCTCTCTATCAATTCTTTTATCTCCGATTAATGAACTGAAACAATACTAATCATTTAATCAATTGCTACGTTTATTAACTTCAATATATTGTATTTAAAAATTTTGATTAGAAAACATTTGATTTAATTTATACATGAAAAAGAAAAAATAAAATAAAATA